CAAGGATGGCACAATTACACAGAAGACAAACACTTTGAGTGAGTAGAAATACTTTGTTTGAATATAAAATATATTTTGCATTGTATAAATTCACTTTTCCACATCCTAAATGTAATTGTTAAATGTAAACATTGTTTGTAAATCCCAGGCCCTGAAGATGATCTCAATAAAAGATCGAAACGTTGGCACGATAAAGAAAATGTTTTTCTGAAACCTACATCACCCCGACCGCATCTCACGATATCTGAATAACTATCGATTAACGGTCAGTAATCTCTACACATTTAACATTATTATTATTTTTTTTTTGAACTGGCTGGCTTTCCCTTTGTGGTTATTAACAAATCTTGTTTCATCTGTGGTCACATATTTATAAGCGATTTTTTATTTGCATCGAACTACTTTAAGATCAGAAATAATTGTTATATATAACAATTACAACATATACAATATGAAGAAGGATTCTGGTTTTCCTCCCACCCACGAAGAACTCATTCTTCAGGAATTCATTTCGCCACCTGTACACAGTAACAATTAATTTATCCTAAATTTAACGTTTTGCAAATCAAATTCACTCTTTTTCCGACCAAATCCAACCTTTTGCTAATCAAATTCACTCTTGTACAAATCAAAATAATACTTTCACAAATCAAATTCACTCTTTTACAAACCAAAATAATACTTTCACAAATCAAATTCACTCTTTTACAAACCAAAATAATACTTTCACAAATTAAATTCACTCTTTTTAAAATAAAATTCACCCTTTTACAAATTAATGTCACTCTTTTACAAATCAAATTCAACCTTTTGCAAATCAAATTCATTCTTTTTCAAAGCAAATTCATTCTCTCTTTATAACAAATTCACCATTTTGAAAATGAAATTAATTCTTTTTAACACAAAATTCACCATTTTGCAAATCAAATTCATTCTTTTTAACACAAAATTTATCCCTTTGCGAGTCAAATTCATTCTTCTTCAAACCAACGTCACCCATTTACGAATTAATGTCACTCTTTTACAAATCAAATTCAACCTTTTGCAAATCAAATTCACTCTTTTTCAAAGCTACTTCATTCTTTTTTTTATAACATATTCACCATTTTGAAAATGAAATTAATTCTTTTTAACACAAAATTCACCATTTTGCAAATAAAATTCACTCTTTTTCAAACCAAGTTCACCCTTTTACAAATTAACGTCACTCTTTTACAAATCAAATTCACTCTTTTGCAAATCAAAAACACCCTTTTTCAAAGCAACTTCAATCTTTTTTCATAACAAATTCACCATTTTGAAAATGAAATTAATTCTTTTTAACACAAAATTCACCATTTTGCAAATCAAATTCATTCTTTTTAACACAAAATTTATCCTTTTGCGAGTCAAATTCATTCTTCTTCAAACCAACTTCACCCTTTTACAAATTAATGTCACTCTTTTACAAATCAAATTCACCCTTTTGCAAATCAAAATCACTCTTTTACTAACGAAATTCGCCCTTTTGCAAACCAAATTCACTATTTTTAAAATAAAATGCACCTTTTTACTAATTAAATTCACCCTTTTACAAATCAAATTTTTTGTTTTGCATATTAAATTGACTCCACTGTAAATGAAATTTTCACTTTCCGATTCGCACTCTTTTTCATATCAAAAACCAAATTCACTCTTTTGCAAAAATAATTCACTCTTTTGTCAATTAATTACATCAATACGAGTTACGATTTGGTTTTCCTCCCACCGAAGACGACATAACCATGTTTTCCCTACTTTGTTGATGCTTTTCACGACAACCCATTTCGTTGTGCCACTAAGGATTAAATGACGGCCTGACCCGGGATGGCAAATCCAAAATCGATCACAGATCACCAATACCACACGTACACAATAACAACGATCCGGCCGATAAATTGAAACAGAATGAAGTTACACAAATGCACGAGAGATTGAGTTCAAAAGATTCAAAGTGATTTGTTTATTTGGGCTCGTCTTTACTCTCTGACCCCGTAGAAGCGATCAGAAAGAATTGGTGAAGTTATAGTCTAAAGAAATTTTTCTTTTGTTACTTCTTCGCCTTATCAGTTTTGACACACTTCATCGATTTTCCACCTATTTTTACTTTTGAAGTTGCCCATGAAGGAACTCGAGAAAATAACAATCCAGAGTAGATTTTGGCAGAACTCGGCGATTTTCTTCTTACGTTACTTTACTTGCAGCCACGATGCAACAGGTTTTTGATCCATTCGACTAACATCTGGCTTTCTCTTCTATTTGAGTTTCTTCCAACACGTACCCGGCTTCGGACATGGTAACGCTTGTATAAAGTACTGCACTGTTAAGTACTGAGATGCGGATGATCGATAAAAGTGAAACGGCAAAATTATGAGAAACAAATAAACACGAATCTATACATAAGCCAAGTTACATGGTAAGTAATAAGTTTCAATAACTTCAATCAGTTTCAGTCAAAATCAAAACCTTGAATAATAATTGAATATGTCTTAAAATAGAATTTGTTTTTCCTGACTTTAGAGGATTGACGATTGTTTTCCAATAGTGAGTTTACAATCTAAAGCAATGCCATGGCGAAATGTCATGTTTTGTTAACTGAAACAAGATAATCCCGTTGCCTGAAGCTATAAAGAAATCACTTTTAAAGATAATCTTTTGAATACGGGAGTAATCCGCGTTTTAAACAATGCCACAGGTGAGTATTTAAAATTTGTCGGTCCTAAATTAGAAGAATTTTCATTTTAAAAAAGGTACGTTCTTTTTGGAAACGTTCTTATAGGACCGTATAGTCCGGAGGTGTGTCGTTACCTGGGAAGGTGTAGTGACGTTCGGAGACGATGTTGGACATTTGCAAACTTTTCCGGACCAAACGGCCTTACTTGTTCGCGAGCCTCGGTGACTACTGGTCTCGGCGGTCTTTCCTTTTCACGACACTCCAACTACAACCACCGGTTTCTCCCCACCAGAACCCCTGTCAATTGTACTTATCAATTAGCGGAACGGTTCGACATTTAAACATCGTCCATCAATCTATGAAAATTTCGGGACGCATTCTGTACCGATGGGCGGAGGGGAGGCGAATTCTAGATATAAACCGATCTTTATCAATTTATGTTTTTAAACATAACGCATAAATATGCAAAAAATAACACTAGAAATAAGCTAAACTTCCAATAAAATATCAGTTAATATTGGCTCATTTCCATAACAACTTATTTTCTTTTGTTGATTTTACACCTTCCTAGCTTTTATTTGAGTGAATTTTTAAAACATAATATTTTGCGACGCTGACATAAGAAAAAACCAATTGACAGTTAATTTCTGAAATTTTAAATCTTAAGCTTCTGAAGTTTTCTTGGGGTGCAGAACTACAACGTCAGTCTCTTATAGCCTCTTCAGATAAATCTCAATTATACACTGAGTAAATTAATTAATACAGTGCTCTCTCCCGAGAGAGAGAGAGAGAGAGAGAGAGAGAGAGAGAGAGAGAGAGAGAGAGAGAGAGAGAGAGAAAGTAAGTGAATGAGTGAGAGAGTGCGTGAATTGAGAGAGTGAATGAGTTTGCGAAAGAATAAGAGAGTGAGAATGCGTGAGTGAGAGAGAGAGAGAGATTATGTGAGAAGGTGAGTAAGTGAGAGAGTGAGGGAGAGTGAGTGAGTGAGCGGGAGAGAGTGAGTAAGTGATTGGGTAAGTGTGAATGCAAGAGTACGTGAATTAGAGAGGGAGTAAAAGGATGGTGAGTGAGTGAAAGAGTAAGCGAGAGTGAGTTAGTGTATTTGTGTTTGAATGAGCGAGGAGTGTGAGAGAAAAAATGAGTGTATGTTAGTGAATGATTGAGTGAGTAAGGGAGAGTTTGTGTGGGTAATGGAGTGTGTGTGGGTGATTGAGTGCTTGCCTGAGTGAGTGAGTGAAGTAAAGTAAGTGAGTGAGTGGGTGAAATAAAGTAAGTGAGTGATTGAGAGTGAGGGAGAGAGTGAGAAAGTGAGTGAGTGAGCGAGAGACTGAGAGAGAAAGAGAGAGAGAGAGAGAGAGATTGTATGTTAGTGAGTGATTGAGTGAGTGAGGGAGAGATTGTATGGGTATTTGAGTGTGTGTGGGGGATTGAGTGCTTGCGTGAGTGAGTGGGTGAAATAAAGTGAGTGATTGAGAGAGTGAGAGTGAGTGAGTGGGAACGAGTGAGTACGTGATTGGGTGAGAGTGAGTGAGTAGTGAATTAGAAAGGGACTAAAGGGAAGGTGAGTGAGTGAGTAGTGAATTAGAAAGGGACTAAAGGGAAGGTGAGTGAGTGAAGAGTAAGCGAGAGTAAGATAGTGTATGTTCAAGTGAGTGAGTGAAAGAGAGAGTGTAAATTAGTGACTGATTGAGTGAGTGAGGGAGAGAGTGTATGTAATTGAGTGTGTGAGGGGTGAGTAAGTGAGAGAGTAAGCGAGGGTAAGTGAGTGAGTTAAATAAAGTGAGCGATTGAGAATGAGTGAGAGAATGCTAGAGAAAAATTTCGATTTTTTTTAAGGCACAGGGAACCTAAAAAGGGCCACTTGATAGAAACTACACTTCGTTTTTCGGCGCAACGCAATACTTTCTCCTCCTTCAAAGGGAAAAACTGAAAAAAATAATTTGATTTAAAAGTTTCAATACTTTAATTTCAAAAAGGAACATAATTTTCATGTATTTCCAAAATGTTTTTCCGTCATAGTCTGCAACGTAAATGTTTTTAGTTACCAACATTAACGAATATAAAAAATTAATCACCAACTTAGAGGTTATCACATCGAGAGATCGAATAAGATTAGAGGCAGAAATCAGAAAAGCACCAGAAGGACATGCCTAACCACGAAAAAAAAATCATGGTCTGCAATGTAATTGCTTAGCACAAAACACAAACGAAAAAAAACCTCACGGCAGTAAGGAGTGAGAGGTAGATTTCTTTCTTTTACGGAATCAATCCAGCGGTGCTAATTAGCTACTTTAAAAATTATAGAATAATTTGAAAACCATGGGTTATTTATTTTGTACAAAACTCACATTTTATCTCAACCAATCTTACATAAAGATAAATGAATTCAAAGCGGTTATTTGGTCAATCGGACCACGAAATCTAATGGATTTATACAAAACAAATATCATAAAAGTATTGCAATAGGATAAAAAATTAATCAATTGTTCTTGTTTCTTATTAACAGCTGGCGTTAAATTAAATTAGATTCGGGCCGTTTTCCTTGACCACTGAAAATAATAAAAATAAAATAATGGTTTACTAATTAACTACCTAATTTGAAATTTTATTTAAGCTATTTAATTATTTTGCCACGTTACTTCACTATTACTTTTTGGTAACAATGTGAGATTTACGGAAAAAGACGTGTGATGTCCAAGCCATATTTATTAATAATATAATTTTAGGGTCTTTTGCTTTTTACCGTGATTTCTCTGTCAATTTAAAAGAAATCTTGGCATATTTGGTAACAAAAAATTAAGAAACGCCTACTGTTTCATTTTATTGCAAAAAAGAAATTAATTTGATATTTTAAACGAAAGAAATTAAGTTTAAAAATATAATATTTGAGAAAAAATCCCGATTAAAAATGGGATATTTTCAAATTATGATAACTTTTAAAATACTGCTTGGATTTGAGCCAAACCGAGCTTAAAAGTTACAGGAAGAATCCAGCTTAAAAACGGTCCCAAAGATGCCAAAATCCAATAATGAGGAGCGTATCTAGGAGGGAGTGAAGATAAACAAACCGAGCTGGTTGTTGTGCTGGATAAAACTCAAAAAATTTGGTTGAATTTTTACTTTCGTCCCCTACAACTAGGCGACCCCCAGTCGATTTGGATGAAAACAATCCCAACCGTCCTTATAGGATTCTTTACCACCCTGCCAAATTTCATCGCAATGTGATCAAAAATGCGACCGTAAGAGCGCTAGATTTTTGAAGGAAATCTACCTAAAATTAAACATCAACTTACAGGTTTCTTGATATCAAATCGAGTGATCGGAGTCGAAGATTCGGGCGGAAAACCAAGCCAAAACGTGCCCAGTTAAGAGGAACCTGATTTAACGGAAGGTTTATCAGTGGTAACAGATCAAAGTTTTATAATTCTGAAATATAAGCTTCTCCGCTTAATTATGGCTAAACTAAGACATATAACACATAACATCTTCACTTTCCCCTTTTACACCCCCCTTGGATCCGCCACTGCGAGAGGTGCTAAAACTAAATTTCATATTAGTTTCACGAAAATAATTATGGCCTAGTTTACTTGAAAAATATTTGGTTTTTAGAAATTTTTGGGTTATTGATAATCTTTGGAAACTTTTACTATATTTTTATTGCGATCTACACAATAAAGCTGTGTGAAACTATATATTCACATAGTTGATTTGAGTAAGTTGAAAAGCGAAATAAAAATATTAAAACACAGAACATTTCAACTTTAGAAAAAAATTAAAACAATAAAAAATTAACGGAACCAGGGCCCTATTCACAATAATTGGCGTATACGTGTCAGATATTTCGGAATGACCATAAAAAATTTGTTAGTCAATAAGTTGAAAAATCCCACGTTATCCGTGGTTGAAATATTTTATTTATTTTGTCTATTACATGGCGTTCCGGGCTTACGGCCCATCATCAGCACCTAAACATGGAAAACCTCATGGTACAATTGCCATCCGAAGATACACACATAAGTAATTTACAATATTTGTATTATTTATTTATATTTATATTTATTTTTGTAAATGTATGTAAATTACTTATGTGTGTATCTTCGGATGGCAATTATGCCATGAGGTTTTCCATGTTTAGGTGTTGATGATGGGCCCGAAACGTCTATGTAATAGACAAAATAAATAAAATATTTCAACCACGGATAACTTGGGATTTTTCACCTTTGGGATAATAATTTCTACAAACCGTGGATTTTAAGAAAAAGATAATAAAAAATGTGGTTTAAATCCGTGACCCACCAACCTGGTCGTCCCCTTAAGTTAAACTTTATGATTAGGTCATGTACTACTAGCAAACATAGGACTGGGTACTTGGAGGCATCCTTTGGTAGTTGCAAATTTGTATAGTCTGATGACCAAGTACAGAGCGTATTATCCGACTACTTAGTTTTGCTGATATCCATGTATGGTACACCATTTCTTTCAATATGAGATAATGTCAAAAGCTCCTTCCAGATAAACAGTTCTATTAGAAGGATTTTTGCTTGATGGTTCCTACCAATTCGCATAACCTATTGTACGGTATCGTAAGATACTACTACTAGCATAGAAGGGAGGTCCTTGGGGGGTTAACCTAGGGTAGGTGATATTTGTATAATCTGATGACCAAGTTCAGATCTTATTACCGGACTTAGTGTTGCTGATACCCAGCAGACAGTCGGATGGTCTATACCCCTTCTTTGAACTTCCGCCTTAAAGGACCCTGGAGTAGTTCCAAGACCTTTAGATAATTTACATTTTGGATCTCATGTAGACACTTAATTTGCTATGTATTCAAATCGTCTATAATTGTTTAGTTTATAATTTTTTCACAATTATTATGCCTGATTTAAACTCGTTGTGCCCTTCTTAGAAAAAAACTTCTATAAAGATATTTTTGTCAACTTTAATATAGGTTATCAAAGACTATACCGAAATTAATAATGGTACGCCTTTGCATTCCTTGGAAAAGATTTCTGATAAAATCCTGAGGAATTCATTCTCATTCTACAAGAACAGCCGTTTCCAAATTTTCTAGGGTGTTAGGATCTGTGATTCGCCGTCGTACTCGCCGATTAAGTTGGTCCCGAATGTGTTCTGGACTTCGAGCTCGTTGACCCCAAGAGATAAAGTGTCCTTTAAAATCGCGATTA